TGCAGGAAAAGAAACGTGTAAGTTGTGACTCAAGTTGGGCAGAAGGAGGAAGCCCTTTTGCGGCTTGCGTTTCGGCCGCGAGCGCTGCAGGCGTGCAGTCGACGCACAGGAACCGACATGTTGTCACACTCAAAGTCAAAGCAGATGCATAGCTCGCTGCGGCCGCGGTGCAAACGTGAATCTATAGGCTGCCGGACTTCAGAGGCCAAATACACAACCGCAACATACCGCAACAGAACGTGGCCAGAAAGCATGTCGTTTCCTTTTAAAAGTACGGAGAAAATGCTGAAAGGCTCACAACCCGATCTACCGAGCCTCTTTTTGGTACGCCTCGGGCTGGCGGAGCCCAGGTCGAAAACCTTCAAGAACGCCGGTACTGCAGAGCCCGATACGGGCACAGCATGGCAATCACGCACACAGGAAGGGACTACTCACAGAAAGAAGCGGCTCTTTGATCCAAGGGGCATCGTCCTCCAGTGACTCCTGCAGCAAACGTGGATGTCGAGTCCGAGTGCTTGGGTGATTTTTGTTTGTTGGTCGTAGCTGCATGGGCTGCTGCAACATCCAGAATCTCGAACAAACCCAGCAGACTGTGCCCTCGGTCTCGCTGTATAGTTGCCGCGCACACACACACACACACACACTGCCCATGTATGCATCATGCATCGGGATGCTCTGCAATGGCATGTGCAGGCAAGACACATATTCACCAAAGGGAGCTTCTGCTTGAGTTGGAAAGTCGGCGGCCTCCTGATGCGCCGTTTTCTTGCACGCTTCATCGATCTCAGGAGCAATCGACCACAAAAAGCCTGAATCTTCACGTGTGGCTTCGAAGATTTGCCAGTCCTGGTCCCTCGGAGGCTTGATGCCTGAAACCACAGCCTTAAAGTCAGACTTCACTGCATCACACTACGTGTCCTCGCTAACAGCCCTCGGCTCAAGCAATGAAAAGTTGGCCGACAGCCAATCAGGTGTGCCGCATGGCCACAGGTTGCTGCCCCGTCAACTCGTGATGCGAAAACTAAGGGAAGAAGGGAACTTTCATGAGTTCGGTCTCCGCGCTCCCTCTGTCCAGTGCCCAATGCCGTTCCCGTGAGCCCCGACTGTACATGCGATCATCCAGTGTTTCAACTCCCGAAGTCTGCACCGGTGACGAGCAGCCCGCCACTGACGCCGGCCCTCTGCAGTCGAGAGCTCCTGCGTGCGTTGGCTGAAGCGTACGGTCAAACGATTGCAAGCACTGCAGGCCGCCTCGGCTGCCCAAGAGATGCGACGGAAGCGATGCTCGTCGCCCGTCTCCGGCACGTCTGGGTGGTAGATCTGGGCTCGAAGTCACAGTCGCGCGCGCGCCAAGTGACACCAAATGCCTCGTGCAACTTTAACCTAAAAGGGGGAGGGGGGGCTTTGGGCGTTGGCGTTGACTTTGGCCTTGGCCAACTGGCGGAAGGCCGGTCGTACGTCGTCGTCCTCTGCGTCGCTTCGAAGGCCGAGCACCTTGAGATCACACACTGGCACCGATGGCACCGGATGCTCAATGCTTTCCTGTGGTACCGGGCATCTGGCCTGAAAAGGGTTGCTGCCATGGCCTCCAAAGGCAAAGGCCGTCGATACACCCAGGATGCAAGGCAGCAATGCAAACCTGGCTCCATGCCCACTGGAATCGGGGTCAGGGCTCGCTACACGAGGTCAGTGTACTCACTTCTGGTACGTCTGCAGGGCGACTTGAAAGTTTTCACTGTCTGACCCTGCAAAGAAATCCGCGCCAAACGCCGTTGCAGAGTGTCGCGGTCTCTGTCAGCGAAATGGCAAATTTGCAAACAGCGTTGCCACTGAGCGCAACATGCGTCACGGCTTGAGCCAGCGTCTATGCATCTACACCCACGCTCACTCTAGGTAAAGCCTAGAAGAATGTCAGGATGCTTGTTGCCATAGTGTTGCCCAGTATGTTGGTGGTGGCATCGATATTTGCTGCCCGAGTCGACGTGCGCTATCAATTAAAGGAACCTGATGATATACCAAAACTGAGCCCGCCTGAATTTGCGGCGACGCAATCCCCAACATAGCTGCTCGCGCATGGCTCATTCTACATATAGAGCAACAGGTGTTGTGGTGTGGATCTAATCTTGATTGGCTTCACAGGGGTGGTGGAACGGTAGCTTGGCGTGTGGTTAGGGCGTGCCGGCTGAGAAGGCGTGTTCAGAAACCGGCAAACGTGTCAAAAGTGCTGTCGCATGCTACACCACTTGCGCTTCAGTCAGTGCTTGCCCAATGGTTTCGGATGTCACTAGAGCCTCTGACTGCTGAGAACGTGTATTGGGTCGCCCTTGAGGGAAGGCATCACCAGGACTCGGCTGAGCGACCCTGAGTCTGCGACACCACCTTCTGATGCGCCGCCGATCAGCTTCGGAGTGTGAATTTCCTTCACCAGTCAGACTCTTCGCTAATTGTGGGAGTCACGAATGGCGCATCATGCAGCTATCGGCACACACTCTCTGCTGGACGTTATAGACTAAGTCTATTAAACCCTTTCTTGGTCTCTCCGCGGCCAAGTGGCTCTTGAACTCCTTTCATGGCATGGTGCTATCTCGATGCAGGGCTTTCCTGGAAGTCATTCATGAGCAGGAACTCCCGGAAAAGCATGCAAACACCAGACCTGGACCCGCAAAAATTAACGACGATGACTCCCAGGACTCCTGCAGACTGCCGCGACGTGCACTGGGACTGGGGGCCATGCTGCATTCTGAAGACGGCTTGGTTAGCCACCTTACCACTTCACCGGCGTTTATGGTGTCTGGCTCCTTCTTTGCAGCGATGAAGGTTTTCTCTTCTCATGAAGAACGCACAAACACATTACTTCTGACAGCGAAAACGTGCCCTGTCTTCTTGTGCTGTATGTGCTGCAATTTCATGCTTGCTGAATTAACGCGACCTGCCCTGTATCAAACATGCCAGCCGCTAGATGGCCAATATCGTCCCGTGTCATCTTCGACAGTTTCTGAGAGCTTGCCGTTCTGAGGTCGATGATCCGGTTATCAAGCCGCACGTCCTTCGAGCGAAGCTGTCTCTCGTGCAAGAAACAATCACTTTGGTCAAACATACCTCTTTTCTGGGATCCCCTAGGCAGGCCCTAGCCCTAGCCCTCCTTCCATAGCACAAGATGTCGTTTAAATGGCTTAACATAGAACATGCTAGATTGTGAGCCTCTCGCAGACCAAGACCCAGCCGTTTGGGGCTCCCGTCACATCTAGAAGAAGCAGGCACAAGCTGCGCTGCATCGAAGATTTGCCAACATTTGAAAAGAGCTGCCCGAACCTATGGGGCAGCATTTACAGTCACAGGATGACCAATCCCGGTGAAGTCTGCGTCCTGTCCCACCGACGGGAGCCTCAGAGAGCAAGCAAACAATGAGTTCAGGCTAACTGTAAGGCCATGGACCTCTGGCACAAGCACCCCTACCTAGGCAAGAGCCCAAAGCACCAAATAAGAAAGCCATCCTTCACTCTGCGACATCAAGAAACATTCGAAAAACCTTGAGATGCAGGCGAGGGGTCCTTTTCCAGCTCTGCCTCGAAACATGTTGAGTTTGTGTCGTCCAGTGACAACACGAGTTTGCAAGAAAAAACAACAACGAGCTGAATGCCCGGCACAATACAAAACCGAATTACACTTTGGATACATGTGGTGAGGATGATTGTGACTATGTACAACTTTGAGAGCGGATGTCACTGGCGAAGCCTGTGGGCCAAACCCTGCGAACCCGGGATTTGCCCAGCCCACCACCGATGTTGCCACAAACCACCACGGACCACCACTGACACCCATGGGCCACCAGCAGCACCACCAAGGACCACCACCACGCCATCACCCCCTTTCACCCAGCGGCAATGAGCTGATGGAGACTCGAGTCGGGATGGATCCGGTTTGCGCCTGGGGTGCGTGGTTGGCCACCCGGTTCGCCTGCCCTAAGACCTTAAGGTTTTTCCGGGTTTTCTTTGTGGTTTGATCCCTAGGCCTTCGGGCCGGAGGTGATGCCACTGCTAACTAACAGGCCAGGCTTTCGGGTCTCGGTCGTCCCTCCACTCCACTCCACTTTCACCACCACCCACCGGAACCAGCACCAGCACCAGCAACACCACCCCACCACTGCCAGCAGCTCACGAGCAGCAGCAGAGGCAACAGCAACAGCAGGAGCAAGAGCAAGCAGAACCACCAATCACAAGATATCACGAGTACAGTCACTGCCACAACGACGACGACAACAACGACCGCACCGACAACGACAACAACGACCGCGACGACAATGACCTGGGCACCGGCACCGGCACGATGGCGGCAAGAGAACAACGACCCGCCCGGAAAAGCGCACCTCGCTCCTCGAGGCATCTGCCAGCTGCAAGGGCAAGGCCTGACATGCGAAATGCAGAACTTCCGTGCTTGGCTTCTTGTCAGAAGGCAGGAAGGGCCCCAGGATGCCCCAGGCCTGAGACCTCCCGATGCAGAAGACGCGCTCCACGGCCAGCTCCTGCAGCCAGGCGCCGAGGCTCCGAGGCTTCGAGGAGAAATCCCAAAGCAAAGGTGAAGGCAGAGTGCTGTTTTTTCTTGAGAGCTATACCATATATTTTTTGTACCTTAAGACATGAATGTGTGCTTTTGTCAGCTCATGCTGAGGTCAGTGCCACGTTCTGCACTGTGCAGGACGTAATCGGTGCGTCAGGGCAGGCTACCTTCCGGGCTCATGTCTCGGCAACTCTCCGCACACGTGCATGAGTCAAGATGGGGCTTGAGAGCCTGCAAGTGGCTAAGCTTCACAGACGTTGTGGGCGGGGGCTCGTTTTGGGGTCTCCATCACCCATCAGGGTTCCTCCAAGCTTTGGCTATGCATGTAGCTTTCCTGGATATCGTGCAATCTCTGCATGGTAGGGGACGTGTCATGACTACCTTGCAGCTGGCAGCGACGAAAACGGTCGCAAGCAGCTTCTGCAATCCTTGAATGCACGTTCCACGCTCCTTCTTTCTCCGTTGATGTGTCCCTCAGTTGCATACATGCTGCCATGATTCTGTCTAGTCTGGCCAGTACACAGTGTCAGCGGCGGAACCACTCAGCAATCAAGTTCCCCGGCACCCTACACCGGACCTTGCCACAGACGTCAACAACGGACTCATCCGGCAAATTCCCAGCAAAGCCCGCCATCTCCTTCACCAGCAATGACCATGCAATGACTGCCTAAGTGAATACGAAGGCAAACAAAAGATGAAGCGATTGGAACACTTGCGCTGCGCCATACCTGGCCATGCACGACACAGAGTCAGTCAGTGAGTAGTGATTGAGTGAGTGAGTCAGTCAGCCAGCCAGCCAGCAGTCAGTCATGTGCGTGTGTGTGTGTGCAGACGTGTTTCGAGTTTGTGACACGCTATGTCGCTATGTACTGTATACTGTTTCCGTCTTTGCCGCAAGTCCTGCCCGAAGATGACAGCCTGCACCGTCGCCACGTCCTCTGGATATTTACTTAGATTGCTCTTCATATCTCTTCCGAAACAGCTCTCGCCAACTTTCGTCGCCCTGACGACCAATTAGTAACTCGCACCTGGCGCAGCGTCAAGAAGCAAAGCTTGTTGCCCTGCTTCCGGCTGTTGTGCACCTAAGCTATTATGAAATACATGGAGATCTTCGAAACAAGCTTCAAGCTCACAAGACGTACTTGCTTGCCGGCCTCCTCAAACGAAACGACCCTGTAATTGACAATTTCAAATTATTGCTTTGCGCCGGCAACGGCCATAAAAGCACAAGGTTAAGAGCAAACCTTAAAAGCCTCAGTCCTGCACCCTACGACGTCCGACCAAGCACAAACTATGTCGAAAAAGGTCTGAGGAATGACGGAGAGCGACGAAGGCTTGCTGAGAGGCAATAATTAAGATCGTTGGCGCATAGGTCATTTGACACAGTCTTTCCCGCCTCTTCGTAAAAAGGCTATTTCGACGTTACAGAACTGTGGTGGTCTTGGTAGACGTGGTAAGTAAGCGTGGTAGTCGTAGCAGTCGTCGCAGTAGCAGTACCAGTAGCAGTCGCAGCAGCTGCCAGCAGCAGCAGTGGTAACAGCTCTAGGCGTAGCTGTAGGCATATCGGCATAGTCGTAGTGGTCCCCGCAGTCGTACCAAACAGGTGGCATGCACGAGCAATCTGGAGTCTTCACTCATGCTGATGTTGTGGTTACCGTTCATAGTGTTGCTGCTGCTTGCCGGAGATCATTGCTGCTATGTGCGAGACACGGCTGGAGCAATGCACCGGCGAGAAGGCAATCCGAGGACCCTGCGCGCGCACGGATCCAAAGCAATGAATCCTCGCGAGCAGCAGGTCAAGGTGCAACATCAGAGGCAACAAAGAGTCAAGAAGACACTACAGTACCCGTCGCAACCTGAGAGACTAAGACCAAGCAGGAAATTCAAAAGGGAATTTCCGGGCGTGTGCTCAACCGACTGGGTGCCAGGAGAACTCTGACGTGAAGCATGAACAAAGCCCAAGCCGACTGGACTTGTGGGAGTCCTTCATGTCTGGCTTCAGCGATCCGATGTTGGTCCACTGCCGCCCTGCATGGTGCGAAGCTTGAGGGCTCCAAGGGCTAGGCCGAAAAATCAGGGGTTTTGCCGTGTCGGCCTGAATTCTGCGCACTCGCATGCAAGGTGCAGTGCTTTCGTGCGATTGCGGTGCTTCCACCTACCTTGATCTGCACAGCTCTTTCAACTACAGTAGGGGCGACGGAATTCGCTTTGAGTTTGTGCCCCCGCAGCGGATACCTGCTACATCTGTTAATCATGCATTCGGAAATCAGGGCACCCAGCATGGCCAGCCTGTCTTTTTCTGGCTCTGGATGAAGAGATTTCCAAAGGAGTGCTCCTGAGGAGCAGCTCGAGAATTGCGACGATGATACCACCAAACAAGGCGGGACAAGTATGCAAGCGAAAACTCTACCTGTGACACTTCGGCACTACGCGATGCGCTGCTGCTGGCAGATGAAATCAGTGCGGGCCAACAGTCAAACCAGAATTGTCAGGCTGAAGAACTTCCTCCCCTCGCCATTCGCTTTCAGCACACCCTTCCGCAAGCCAACCTCGAAGTTCTCGGGAGTCAAATCAGGGCCTGCGAACCTGAGTTTGCAGAGGTTGGAAGGATAAGGTGCTCGAGGCTCTGCATGAGGGACAGGCTCAGAGGGGTCTCGCAATGCACTGCCACGGCCCGTGAAAAGGACTGGGCCTCTGTACTGTACGGCCAGGACTGGACAGCAAGCCATCCGATCCCGCCGGCACGGCCACTGCTGCAATGAACAGATCTGTGAACAGGTGCGGTGCTGCCAGTACGAGAATGCGTGATGCCACAAGCGAAAACTTCAGACACTCGTGGACCCTATGAGACATCACAGCAAATATGACTAACGATGACAATGAGAAGAACTTCATGACTACGAACTCCGAGGAATGTGCTTCGCGTTCTGGGCCGCAATTCGCTCCTGCCACCCATGCAGGTAGGCTGATTCTGTTTGCAAGCCTGCAACGCGGCACGTGAAAGAGTATAGCTAGTATAGCAGTTTAGCACAAAGCTGGTGAGGAATATAGCTCCTCCTCTTTCCGCCGTTTTTCATCCTCTTTGGCCTCGTGCACGGCACGTACATTAACATACAATGTCGACCTCCCAGGGTGGCGGGGTGGTCGGACGGAGTCTCGGGCTTTGAAACGGCCCTGGCGCACTATGACCCCGCGTGAACTGAGTGTTGAATCTTCACCCAAAACCAGGGTTCGTCGCTGTTCATACACACCTGCCTGGCTTGCAGTGAAACTCGTCGGTCAGATCGAGACCACACAGGATTGCTGAGCTGTCCAACTGAACACGAGACGGCCACCAAGTCAACCGATGATCGACCGCCTTCTTCTCGGCTTCTTTTGCCTTTCTTTTCTCCTCCTTCTTGCCGCTGCCACCTGCCGATTTCGATGCCGGTATGCAGCCAAAAGGTGTCCCTCGGTTGACCTCCAAGGCTTGCGCACTCAGAAGCTCGCATGCCTTCTTCGCCCGCAGCTTGGGCGGCAGCCTGCGGCCACGAGTGGCAAGACAGGACAATGGAGGGTGGTCTGTGTTGGATAAGCCGATGTGCCCACTCGTTCCTGTCCCAGGTCGCGCAAGACACATATAGCATATAGTCACATAGCAGGTCGCTCGTCTTCTGCATGACAACTTCACATGTAGCCTGCATGTAGCCCTCTCAAACCATGTCCTTGCCTCTCTGAGACCCTACCAGTTGAAGTGTTCAGGGCTATTGGTCGAGTCATGGGCTTGTACTGGTTCATATGCAGGTGAGACACGGCTGAAATGGCGCTAGAGCGATTAAGGTCGGGTAGCGAGGAAGGCGCTGCATGATTGCTGCTGCCTCGAAGTTCTGCGGCAAGAAATGACAAACATGGTCTTGTAGATCCCCAAACTGACTCATGCAACCGGTGCTTATCTCATGGTTTGCTTGTTTGACACGAGTGCACCAACTGCATGCAACGCCTGGGGCTTGACCCTTCAAAGGTGTGGACGATGCAGCAGCAAATAATGCCTACATTGTTACATATCCCCAAAGTACGGCTCCCTGGTACACGGGCCCCGGTTTACCACGCTAAGGTCTAGCCAGACCTTCCACCCCTCTATCAAGAGCAGCCAGAAAAGGGACTATCTAGTACTACGTGCAGGCACGCCTAGCACTTGCGTGGTTGATTATGTAGGTGTAAGTCGGATACAAGGGCTGCATCAGCTACGCAACTTTAAATCGCAGCAGTTCGCTGCTGCAGAACAGCACTAGCTGGCGATGTACTGCCGAAGAAAGAAGCCGCATTAGCTAGAAAGTCTGGCAGCATCAAATACACACATCTCCATGTGCAAGCGCGCTCGCTGCCACGCTGCCACACCGACCCTGTCTTGAATTTAGACATCTTCGATTTTGTTTCGCAATCTGGGTCCAAACTCGCAATGCAATCGTCCGAAAACCCGGAGAGTCAAGAAGATCTGTGCCTTTGGCTCTGGCGCCATAGGCTCCTTCGGAGCCGCCTTGGGCTCCGCGGGCTTCTGCTTGGGCTCTGCCTCGCTCAATGAAGGACTTCCCAATGCCGTCCGCAACAGTTTGAAATGGCTCTGGGACGGGTGGAAACGGATCGTGGAGATGTACTAGCAGCAGGACTGGGTGGCACTGATCCTGTTGTCTCGAAACCCTCAAACAGAACGGCTCTATCGTTGCGGAGCACGGCCTACTCCTGGATGCCAAGCCAGCGCTGTGGAAGCCGGGAGTGCTGTTGGCAGGGGGCTGCACCCAGGAACGGTAACAACGCAAGATGGCAGCGTGGCAGATTTTCTGCAATCTCCAGAACCGGTTTCCATACCACGGCATCCTCCGGACGGCAATACCCCTGCTGCTACGATTCGGCCTTGGGCTGCGCTGTGGCCTTCGCAGGCTTGGCTTCGGCCTTTGCCTGGCACTCGGCTAACTCTGGACGCTTCGCTCGCTGCACATGTTTGCTTGTTACACGAAATGTTTTTTACATCAGGAGTTGCTGCAGCCGGACGGGTAGATGTCTTTCCAAGCAATGCAAACAGCTCTGAATATTTGCGCTGCCTTCCATTCAGAGAGTGCCAGGCATCGTAGCACAAGCAAACAAGCAGCACCACCACCAAGAGCAGTACTGATGGCATATGTCCTTACTGACTTGTATTGCCTAAAACTGACTGAGCCTTGGATTCATGCGTTTGGTGGTGCTGGTGGTAGCGATGGCGGCAGCAGCGGGAGGAGGCGGAGGACGAAGAGGAGTAGTAGTGGTGTTAGTCGTTTGTTATTGCTTGTTGGTCTAAGTTTAAAAGTCATTGCCGCTGTTTGATGATGATGATGTTGGTGGGTGGTGGAGTGGGAGTTGGGGTTGGGCTTTCCGTTCTTGCTGCTATTGTTGTCGCACTCTCTATCCAAAGTCTTCCCGCCTGACTTGT